CCTCAGCACTGATCTCTTCTTGGGTCTCAGCCAGGCGCTTCTTGGCTAGTTCTGTCCTCCGGTCGCAGTCGGCAATGAATGACTCCAGATGATCTACCGCCTTCACCAGTCAGAAAAGTGAGTTACCAGATAAACACACACACATTTTCACAGTTTATATAGGGCTATACTGATTTTTCAATAATGATCTGACAATGATATTAAAGTGTCACCTAAAGAAGTCATGGGGATCCCTTAAGGGCTCTGCTTTACAGTCACCTCTTCAGATACTTCAGACTATTTTTTATTGAAAATGTTGAAATAGCCAAATTAGTTATTAGAAGTTAGCTGGCTATTTACAGCTTGCCTATAATACTAAAAGCAACAATCTATATACAGTAGCTCATGCTCTACACCAACAATTAATCTGTTTAATTAAGGTAATTAACAATTCAACAATCAGTACACCAGTCTTATTGGTAGAGAGACATCACTTACATCAAGCTCAAAGAACAGATCTCTGTCCTTGGAGGCTATTTCATAATCTGCCCGAAGTGCCAAATCATGGATCTTGGTGCACTCTCCCAGGTCCATACGCTAACATCAAAACACAAACACATATGACCCAAACTGCACAAACTCAAATATAAATAGATTACATTGCACAATGTATGATAATTCATAGTACATATTCACTTTTTCCTGCCTGTTATTTTACTGGTGAGAGGAATGATATCCTGTGGAGAATCAAATGTCTTAAATGCCTTGAACACCTAGATGCTAGTACCATTTGGGATGTCTGACCTAAACCTTAGACCACTTACAGTTCCAGACAGGATGTCGTGTGGACAGCAGTTGAGAAGATGACTTTTGCAGACTCGCTCGTCAGTGAACTTGACCCTCTGCCGCGTCTCATCTCCTGAAACAGTCCAAAAAATAACCAGTGAGAACGACCTCACATACTTGACAGCAGGGCCGAGGTATCCAGTTCTTCAAAAAGAATTACTGTAACTGCATTACATTAGACAAATGTGTTTCACAGTAAAAGCATTCAAAGATTGTGTGCCCACCTAACTGAGTGAAAATCAATGCTTTATATTTCTGATTGTCAAAGATTTTAATATATGTCATTTGTATATTACATTTACCAGTTTCTGCCTCTACTGGGTTATGTTCATTATCTACTTCCTTGTGGCTCTGCATGCACATGGTACCTCTTGCTCTTCAAGGTGCTTACCTTACCCAAGCCTCAAAAAATAAAAAAATAAAAAAATAAAATAAAAAATCCTGGCAAGGTTAGAGCCTCAACTCAGGTTAACTTGTGATAAGGCTCAGTGTCTACTCTCTAAATGTGGAGCATCAAAGGATTAGACTTCTTAAGGGCACAATACTGTAAATGGCTATAAAATCATTGTATCACTTGTATAAAGACAACTACCTTGACTTTCACTTTCATTATATGTCAACACATTAGTTGAACATTTGACTATGCAAGAAAGCCTGCTATTAAGGCCGTGATAAGAAGTCTACAAATCTCAGACAAATGTTCCAGCCAAGCCCCTTACGAATATGAAAAACTGAAAACAAAATCACAAAAGAAATCCAAGGTAAAAAAATGTAGTTTATACACACTGTGATCTGCACCACATACTGTACCCTTCTGCATCTTCAAGACCTCAGCTGCAGAATTTTAAACCCGCTGTAGAAAAGTATAAATGGAAACAGTTTTCTTGCCCATACCTGTAGTAAGAAGTTGGGAGTCATACACAAGTCAGATTGTAAATGATGTGTGCAAAGTGTTTGTTTCGATGACTGCTACAATTGCCTTCTGAAAACAGACGTCTAATGGACAAATGAGAACTGCTCGTTTGGCTTCAGCGCGATGAGACGTCTTAGCTCAAGGTGATAACACTACTCCAAATTGTAATTCTAGTGCCACTGAAGAGTTACCATTTGTGTGATTAAAAAAATGGCTACAATAACTTCCGGAAGGCAAACAAATTGTTTGGATATTCATCATAACAGCTTTAAAAATCATGTGTGACTCACGGCTCGATGAACATGAGGCTTTTCTGCAACTCCTTTGCAGATTGATGTAGGCTGGCAAAGATACACTGAACCTTAATGAATAAAATAAAGGGGCCACAATTGTTCAGTCTGTATGCAACAAATGTATGGGAAGAATTTTATATCAATCTCACCACACATACAGCCACAGACTCACAACACATATTCACTCATACTGTATAGGTCGAATTATCAACTTGTTAAAAGATCCACAGGGCTGCAGTCTTAATCGCTTTACCGTCAGGATGAATGTCTAATTGATAAACTGGTCAAACAGAAATACACTGTCATTTTCTGCCAATGACAGTCAGACTTGACAGCTGATTTAATTTTTAATGTTTGTATCCAAATGGCTGGAAGCTATCACTAAAAATGTACTTTAGCATGTCAAATCATCCATTTAGAAGAACCAATTAAGACAAAATTTTGATCTACAATATCAGTCAAAAGTATGGACACACTTCCCCACTGAACTGAATAGGAAAAGTGTGTCCAAATGTCAGAGTGGCAGTTTATATTTACTTAAGATCGTTTTGTAAAGGTACAAATATCTCAGTCGAGCATTAACCATTGTATACTTTTACTAAATTTTAGGCAAACATTGTACTTTTTAATCCGCACATTTATCTGACAACTGCCATTGCATGTTTATTAGCTTATTAATATTATACACCCAAACGTAAGACCTATTGTTAATACATAATATTATACTAATATATAAGATATGATTCACTGTTATAAAATACATTACCCAACAACATGCAGATTAGTTCCTAATTAATTAAATATACCTACAACACTACCTGAATACAAATGACTGTTTACACATTAATGCATTAGTAATAATAGTTTTACGTATAACATTACACTAAAAGAGGGGTTGTACAAGGTTTACACTTTTGATGTTTCAAATATATAGCTGATTATACTTGCAGAGCTTTGAGTATTTTTAAGTTACTTTAAAAGATCTGAGCACTTCTTTCTCCGCTGAAGACGTAGCACTATTGAGCATGAGTAGACAGTACTGAAATTACTCTTACACATGTATCACAGACACTTCTCACATAACGACTATAATCCACCACTTTAAAAATCAAATAGCCTCAGGCCTGTTGCGACGTCAAGTCCGCGTATCCATATCAACTGTAAAAAATATTATGAAAGCAATACGCTAGCTTTAACTTTATACAGTAACGAGTCGATTAATCACAGTGATGAATAAACTGCTATATCGCCCGTGTAGCATATTGCATGACAGCTCCGTTGTTGTGTGGAAATCTGTTCCCCCATGGAGATGCATTTCCCATAACCTTATCCTAACTATAACCGCCGAGGGGGCGCTACTAAAAACACAGTTTTAACCGGGGGATACACATCTGGACGGGGAAACAGATTTCGACACAAGACCTAACTTCACAATAAACATTAGCGTTAGCTAACCTAGCTATTAGCAAGACATTTACTAAAAGTGATAGAGGAAACAAAATTAAGTTAAAAGAGAGCCACAATGGATGCAAACATTAAATTCTAACGTGAATCCGCAAAGGCTAATTGAATCGTTACAGTATTTACACAGCCCTCTGCAGTACATCCATTCATGCAGGTCTGTCCACCACACGCCAACACAAGCCAGCCTCAGCAGTGGCTCCATCTTGGCTAGCTAGCTAACCTAGCACAGCTAGCATACTACAGCAACTCACCATCCCTCGCTGTTCCCATTAGCTGGTCGAGCAAAGCTCTCATTTGAGCTTGGGCAGACATTGTTGTAGATCTTCCGTCGACGGCGCTATTAAATAACCAAATGAAAACAGTTCCTTTGTACTTTTGTTAGGTTATTTGATTATTTATTCGTCCAAGCATCACCTCCCGCAGCTTTTCTCTATTTCCTGAACTCGCGTTTCCGTTTTATATTAGGGAAATGACGGCAACTCTTTTTTGAAAGTTCCGTGTAGCTAACGATAAAGGGGGTGGGCTATCGATCTGAAAACAACCAATCATAACGTTTAAGAACAAGCACATTGACCAATCAGAGAAACTTGAATCAACTAAAGGTTACTAAATAGCACTCCTTCGCCCTGAACCTGGCCTGTTAGGTACTAGCTACTCATAGGCTGTCGTCTTCTGGCAGCTCCCCTTACTATACGTTTTACTTATGTTTAGATTAGAAACCCTACATGTCAAGGCTAGTTTCGTAGTTGAAAGATTCGAAATCATTTTGGTCTAAAAATCTTCAGGGTGGGGGCACAGCCTAACAGATTAATTCAGGACTTAAAGTGTAAAAGTGGGCTGGCCTGTGAGTTATGTGGCATTGGAGGTTAACAGACGTATAACCGCTAATAAACCTCGGAAGAAGAAGAAAAAGAAGACGACGACCGGAAGGCTTGTCAGGCCTGTTACCTATAGCAGCACTAGTCGCCATAACAGTGGTGACTAAAGTAAGAAAAAAAAAACCTTATGTAATTAGTGTAAACTCTTTGAAATTCAGATGCTGTGACTGTCGTATTAAAAGCTATTCTTGCTTTTTGTTGCCCTAGCATTTGTTCAACAAGTTAGCAAACTAACCGGTGTTAACTGCGAAATTTCCAAGCCAAAACATGCTAACAAACATAAACATTGGACTTTGACCTGCTCAGAGAAGCTGCCGTTTCTGTACTACCTAGCAAATATCATACGGTAAAATTACAGATTTTTAAATACTTTCGGCAACTAATGTGCTTGGTAACTTGCACACATACTTTTGCGTTGCCCCAAAGGAGCAGTGTCACTGTGGCTGAAGATCAAATAACAAGCTGCGTTAGTTTGGGAAATAATGATTGTTTATTTTGGCTTTGTTTTTTGTACTGAGAAATCTCTGGAGCCAGTGTTGGCACGTCTGAATAAGCGCAGAACCATAACGGGTGTTACAGCAGAAATAGCTGGACTGACAGACATTGCTGCCTTCAGTAGTTTTTCCATCTGTTATCTGTGAATGCGAGCGAGTTTAGTTTGCAGGTTACTTTGACACGGAAGCTAACTACACACTGGGACAGATGTAGAAGCAAACTGTATGCCACAGTGGAAGTATTTACTGTATAGTAAATAAGTAGTGTTTATAATGTCTAAGAGATTTTTTTAAGGCCAGCTTTAAACTGAGATAAGGTTTTACTGTGAGCCCTTTTCCCTGTCAAGCAGATCCATGGCTTAGTAAAGTACTGAGGTGACAATGGAGACCACAGACCATGCTACTGAGAGAGACCGTGCTACTGAGAGTGACCCTCTGAAGAGAGGAGAGGATGGGGCGGAGACAGGAATAGCACTATCAGCAAAAGTGCTAAAGAACAAGAGTTTTGCCAAACTGACCCACTGGCGAACCGCAGTCTTCTTCCTCTCCTTGTTCATCTGCCTCATCATAGTGTTTGCCTTCTCTTTCATCATCCCGTGTCCTGTGAGACCACAGTATCTCATCACCTGGAACCGGACATTCTCTGAAGCAGGTGTGTACAGTGGTGTACTTTTCACTGCATGGGAGTCTCTTAAATGTGTGTAACTACTACTCTTTCTTTCTCTGCCACAGCAACCTATGACTTCTTAGCTATTGAAGCTGCAAGCAACGACAAGGTGATGGATGTCCTATTTGTTCTCAGAATGAAAGAAGGCAGTCAGAACAATACATGTACTGATGCAGGTATAAAGTGTTGCTTAGTTATATTTGAACTGAATTGAAGGATTGGATTGCTCACTATATGATTGTTTAAAATTCAGATGCACTGTATGTGTTTTCCAGGGCTGCCCTCGCCGTGTATGTTTGTGTTAGCAGTGGATGGGACAGATGGAGAGACCTTGTGGGAGCGTCCACTCCATCCCGAGTTCCACTGGGCCCAGTGTGGTTTGGATAAAGGAACTCAAAGAAACTGGGACTGTCTGCTATCCCATTCTGACCAGTTCACAGCCATTGACAAATCCTCTGGTCTGTGACTCTTTACTCTGTATTATGGATACTATAAATTTCACATTTTCTGTATGTATAGTATATAGAACATGCATTATGCTTTTCTAAAAGTCATTGTAGTTTAGGAATTGGTCTCCCCATCAATGAGCAATTTACTCAGAGAAAAACTAGTAAGTGGACCTCAAGTTTATTTTGTCAAACTACAATTCCCAAGGTAAAGAATGAACTGTGATGTTCAAGAAAAGCTGTAGCTTTCAATTTCAGATCAATTTAACTTGTTTATGTGTGGTGTGCTTGTATCCAGGTGCAATTAGGTGGCAGCAGCCTCAGCCACCCAGTTTGAACAGCACTGTACCTGCTCTTAGTGTCCCAGATCTGGATGGCGACAAAGTCAGTGATGTGGCTCTGGTGGCATCTGACAACACACAGGTATATTCTACTAATGTTATTCATTCCAGCTACATTTATTTGCTTCCTTTGTATCTTACAGTTAAAGAACTGAGTCACACAGTTCTTGAATTTTATTCAATAAAACCAGCTGTAACTGAATAACAGATATACAAATTAAAAGTTCTGTCAGTGAAATATTTTGTTAATGAAACTGAGAAACAGAAGTCATTGTAGTGAATATGTCTCCAATCATGTTTGCAGACTCAGCTGGTATTCCTGTCAGGGAAGACAGGCATCCAAATTGGTTCTACAGTAGTTCTTGACTCCACACAAACAGCCAGTCATCTTCTCCATCACACTGCAGAGGGTTCTCACTATGTTCTGCTCCAGAAAGGTCAGGATCTGAAATTAGCTATGGCACTCAACACAGGTTACAGCATATCTGCATTCAGGCCAGCTAAGGCAGAAGCGCTGCACTTTATCTGAGTACTGGTGAAAGTGTCACATATTAGCAGTGTGTTTCAGGTGCTTTGTATAAGTAAGACAGCTCATTTTCATATAGGTATTTTAATATTTGTGTTACAGTACAACAATTGTACACAGATGTTGGAGGTTGAACATTTCAGGTAATCTTGTGTTCCTTCACAGACTCTGGCCTATATGGACTGGCACTGTGGAGGATTGCTGCGAAAGCTAAACCAGGGATGGAGGTCGGCCTGAAGAAGGATAAATACTGGGAGAGAAAGGCCAATGCCACATCTGGCCTTGTACCTGTCTACAAGTAAGAAGCAGCCTACGTTAACACAACACAGATTTGGCTAAACAGCTTGTCATTGTTGTAATATTTATTTGCACTGTGTAGGTCTGACTCAGTGAGACGAGTGCTGAGAACAGAAGGAACAGATGATCCATCCAACCTGCTGTTTGTGACTGAAAAGGAGGTCGCATTAATTGATGGAAAAAATCTGCAGCTACAGTGGAGATTCAACACCAGCTCAGTCTTCACGTAACCCTTTTGTCTATGTTCTTATATTGCACATACAAATTAATTAGAGCTGAAACAGTTAGTTGACTTGCAAAATATACTAGTTCTGGCTTCTTGAATGTGAATATTTGCCGGTCTTTTGTGATAGTCACTATGTTTTGGGTCACTGGTTGGACAAAACAAGCAATTTGAATGTGTCAGCTTGAGTATTTGTAATGGTATATTCCACTTTTTTAAATGTTATAGGATAAATTTAATTGAACAAAAGATGAATGAAAAAGTAAGCTAGGTAATTATAGTAGAGATCTAACAAACTGACGAAACAGTACATAATTATGAAAAATAAACTTTTTCGCTGCAAGTCCAATTGTGTTACAATGTCTGTAACTCAGTCGTTGTAAAGCCAGAAATGTCATCACCTGGTACAGTTTGTACTAATCAACAACCATATAAAACCCCTATATACACAGCACATAATGGTTTGAGTAACTAAGCTTGTTGAGTCAAATATATTGTATCCTCTGTGTTCTCATTTCTTCAGTGAGCCCTCCTTTGGCCACTTTAACAAAGATGGCTTACTTGATATTGTGGTTGAGGAGGATGTTGGCAACTACACAAAGAGGGTAAGTTGGGTCTAACATGTACAAGCAATGCTGTGACACCTAGGATTTATTTATTTTTTTGTCCAGCTTCTCTCCTGTGGTGCTCAGCTTGAATCCAGCATTAACTGTACCACTGTTTGTCTTGCATGTAGGTGATTATTCTAGATGGGAAGTCTGGTGGCGTGCTGTGGGAAGTCAACCTCATGGCCAGTCCTAACTCACCAAGACCTGACTCAATACATACCACCAACTCCTACTCCATTTTTGTGCTCTGGGGCACAATTCCATCAGAGATCAACTCCTCTGTAAGTAGCCTTCCTTATAGAAAGTTTACTCAGAGATTCACAGAAAGCTAATCTGAATCAAAATTTCCTTCCAGGTACCGTTAATCAGTGACCGACGTTCTTACATGCTGCACCCTCTCTATTCGAATGTCCTCCTCGAGTCAAACAGTGTCATGGACCACATTGTAATGTTTAAAGGTGTTTTTTGCTCTTGATTTTCTAAGAATTATGTTGTGATTTAACTAGAACACTGTGTGAGTCAGTGGCTGGAGTGATGAGGAAACACAGGGGTAAGCTCATTGTGTGACTGCATTTGTGTTTTTACCTCAGCCACACTGTTGGAGCATGGTCGCCATGCTGCCTACATCCTGCTGACAGGTCCTGGGACGAATGGAGCTGAAGGCACTGTGGAGCTAAGGAAGCAGAAACTGAAGCAGGAGGTCCCTTACAGCAAAGTAATCCGTATTGGCACTGGAGGAAACTCTGAGACCGATGAGTACATCAAAGAGGCCTTCAACCGACTCCGCTTCAGCGACTGGTGAAAGGAACTGTGACGTACACTGTATCCTCAGTGTTAAAACCAGTTTGGCAGCACTGACTGTACAGTGGCTTAACTTGACTTTATAAACCAAAGTGTGTACACTAGTTTTGACTTTTCAACTGCTGACAACTAAAATTACTTGTGTTTAGACTTGTCTTGGTTTCCAGGGTACTTCTGTGAATCTCCATAGGACAAACTGGGCATTATACATCTTCAGGCATGAATGTGTACACACTATAATAATTTTATGTAGTATCCACAGAGCTGCTGTTCCATGACAATCACAGACGACTTGTGGTCTGCTGCTGAAATATGCATCACAAGTACCTGTCTCGCTGTATTGTTTTTAGCACTGCATCAATGCAGTGGTCTTGATTTGATTGCAGGGGCTGGATTCTTATTTGGATCTATGCAACTGTATGTCGTCATGTGTATTTTAAATCATATTAGCTTTAAAGAAATTGCCACACAGTGGTATGGCTTCCTTTTGGTATTCTTGTATCAAACTGTACAATACAACATTACACTGCCAGGCAAACGTTTGGACACACTTTCCCATTCAGTTCAGTAGGAAAGTGTCCAAACTTTTGACTGCAGTGTATGTGGTTGCATTTTTTGTTACAAATCATATTTGTGAAAGCATTGGTAAGGCAGTCTTTTAGTCACAGGTACTGCTGTTGATGTGTGTGAGTGTTCCTATTTACTTAATCCAAGATGCTGTTACCTGTGATGCTTTGTAACCGAGTAAACCTTAGGGGTGCTCAATGCTGTATCTCAAAGTTTCACCATAATAACTGTGTTACTGATGTGGATTTACAGCTTTTTGTAAAGCTGATTGTTGTCTCAGTGATTTATATCAGTTAAAAAAGTGCAATTGACTTTGTTTTTGCTGTACAATAATATATATATATATAAACCCTGTGGGACAGGTCTCTTGTTGAAGCTGGCTTTTCTTGATATGTTTAAATTTGTTCCTTAAATAAGAATTCTTTGTGATTAAACAAAAGCAGTTTAAAATTATCTAATATTGCTGAAACGGTTAAGGTACAAAATATCAGGGATGTCTTTTTTTTTTTTTTAATTGTTGCAACTGGAGTTAAACGCCTCTTTGCAAATACCCAACAAACTCAGTGACATAAAAGCAATAAATGCTTTATCCACATATAATTTACAATCCTTATACTGTAGATTTAATGGTGGAAATTGGCTCAGGATCATTTTTTTCTTCATAGATTCACCAAAAATCAAGAATTCTATGCAGTTTGTAAAGAGAGCTGCTGTCAAAATTGACAAAAGTATAACTAAATGTCATATTGACTGCTTTAATAATTTACAGTATAGTCATTTCATTTAAACCAATTTTGTCATGACGTTTGTGATTTATTGAATCTTTTCAGATCTTTTTGCCTTGTTTGATATTTTGTGTCAAACACCATATATTCAGAAAACTAAAGTTTGACTTCTAATCAATAATATAGAAGGAACCTCATTCTTGCCCTCTTGTGTTGTAATGTCCTGTATACACTTGGTAAATACAGCGCCCCCTGCTGGACTTGCAGTGTAATGAAGTCACTCAACACAGGGCTGTACTCAAATATTTATGGTACGTCATTTATTTACCATGACGCAAGACTGCCGACAGTATGCTTTCTGGAATGGAAAGCAAGTCCTTGAAATAGCCGGGTCATGTAACACTTAGGCCACCGTTTGTCTTTCTTTCCTCTCTAGGAAAACCGTACACAGCAGGATAAGGCTCTGAGACGAGGCTGGAGCAGCGCGACAGGAGGCGTAGAGATGCACAAACCACGCAGCAGGTTCATCATGACGATACTGGGTGGACGCATTTGCCAACACCCACATCAGTAGCCTATTGGGATTAATTTGGAATGATACAGCCCATTTTCTATTATTTTAAAATCGGAGATGAGTCGGTGCTCCTGAAACCGCGCACTGTGAAAATTCCCCGTCTGCCTGCTTAACAGAACACCTAAAACTAGGCCTACCTAATACACTGCGCTCTTCCTGTTATCTCTCCCATCTGACTCCTGAACAATATCACCCTCACATGACCTGGCAACTGTAATCCATAGACAATGAGTTCCTGGTTTGGACAAACAGAACATTTGCCAGCCCCCCGATGATACGACCAAGCCCACTGACAAAGCAAAATAATGCGATGCTGCCTTTCACTAACCCAACTACATTCAAACTACCTGAGCCACTTTAAATACCTGGTCAAACATCTATTATTGATAAAATCTCTATTAATAAACGCTCAATTGTATAATACTTCCGCCTTGAGAAGACAGTTTCGCGTCTGTGAGCGTAACGTGCCATTGAACTATACTAAACAATAACATTAGTTATCCCGGTCTCCTCTCAGTATGTGCATCACTTAAAGCTGATCTGTGTATAGGCAGTCGGAGTTGTGACACCATGGGTGCTTAGCATGTCAATGTCACCTATGTCCGCCATACCGTCTTAATAAGACCGCACGGCTACAATAGCTTCGGAGACGAGCGCGCGCGCGTGGTGCGCACAGTGCATATCGCAGGAACGAGACACCGACTTTCACCGTCCGGTATAAAAGTCACACCGAGCTCGAGCCAGCGACTGCTACAGAGGTAACGTTTACCTGCATTCCTTTATTTATTCTTTTTTTACGCATACCATCGGTATTTAAAAGGATATGTATAGATATATAGCTTAATTATTAATGTAAAGGCTCAACTGCTGCGTGCGGAAATGACAACAGTAATGTAAATTGCGGTTATATATATTTTTAAAAAGTTTTTAGAGGCTTTATTTGACTTTGTAATAGCTTAATAATCATTAACCATAAAGTAAGTAAAAAGGGTATAATTTGTTTATGTGAAAAAGAAAGAGAAACTGGGTTGTAATGAGGAAATGCTTGTAAAGGCCCGGTGAACGAGGCTATCGATAAGCTACCTGCCAATATTTTGCGTAACTTACATATTATTAGGCACTTCGTTGAAGCCTGATATAGCCTATTATGTTCTACTATTACTCTGAGAAAGGAGTATTTGATGAACGCCCCACATTTCAGCCTGGAGGTGTTGAATGCAGCCCCCCAGTCCCTCTGCCGAGCCGGCCGGTAGTCGGTGCACATCGTCAGCAATACAACTTATATGAAGTCAGTCCCTAGACTGTACTGGTGACATGTAGCCCTAGACCTGGGCTGCATCGGTGCCTCCATCTATGTGTGTATGTGTGGTAAACACCTGACACATTTACGAGTCTGCGCTTGAAACAGGCATTTTCTTAACGACTGGCATCTTACAGCATCCAGTAATGCTGTTCTCTTGACAGAGACGAAAATGGCTGAGGACATTAAGGCCAAACTTGAGAATTATCACACGGCTCCCTTTGATACCAGATTCCCCAACCAGAACCAGACCAAGAACTGCTGGGTCAACTACGTGGGTAAGACTTGCACTTCAAGGTCAAAGCAGTCCACTGTGCTTCCAGACATTTGTGAAGTTAGAATACTAATTAAACGTCATTATAAACTCTGAGGATATGCTGTGCTATTTAGATATTTTAAAAATAAAATGTATTAATTTGTAAGTCAGACAAAACATGCTCTTGTCCAAAGCTATTCCAGTCTTACCCAGGGTGTTGACTTCTGACCTCTGGAATGGAGATAATTCAGTTTATGACTGAGGACCACTGGCATGGCCCTTCCTCTTGAAACCTGGACAGTTTTTAAATCCATTGTTGCTGTTTGTCTATTACAGACTACCACCGCTGCCAGAACGCGCTGACTGCTAAAGGAGCAGACACCACCCCTTGCGAATGGTACAGGAGGGTCTACACTTCACTCTGCCCTATGGCCTGGGTAAATACCATTTCACATCTCAACTTCTCTTTGAGATTTGCTGTCTTATAGGACATAGGCCACTTGAAGAGTAATGACACAACAGACTGAATACTTTGTCCTGTGTGGGCTGAGTGTGTTTAGCAGGGGGTCAAACAAGTTTAGCGTTCCTCACATTCCTGAGAAACTCTGCTGTCTTGAGAGTCAAAACAGCAAAGTGGCAGTCCAAAATTAGACACAGGAGACCCCCCTGTGAAAACTTCTCAGCTCAAAAATATTTTTGGCTATTTTGAGTTATTTTTTAAGACAAATCCAATTTATTTTTAAAAAATATTACCACTTTTGTCAGAATTGGATTTGAATGTCTTGGATTTCAATGCTTTATACATTAGACAGCATCACTTAGCTGATTTTCTTTGCAACATGGGATGTTAAATCAACAGTTATATTTGGTAGAACTGCTGTGTATTTCTCTTAACGGGCAGAAACTAAGATAAAGAACATGGTAATTTTGTATGGGTTTTGTCATTTTCTAAATTTCTATTAAAATTTCATTCTGAAATTGATCCTTTAGGTCCAGAAATGGGATGAGCAGAGAGAAGAGGGAACCTTTGCAGGAAAAATCTAAGCCTGCAATCTCCAAAGCTGTTGGACTGCAAAGATGTGATCTTTTCAGATAAATGCTTGTATAAGTGGTGGGAGACCACATGGCTCCTTCTGTACCTTTGCACTACTGACGCTTTGTGCTGGGATCACACTGGAACTGACCAGTCATTCCTTACAAATATAGTGAAATGTATAGCGGATTCTGCATTAAAATATCTCAGGATATGTTTAAGCTCAGTTGTCCCGTGTTTATTCTTTTTATGGTAAGCTGACCACATCACTTTACATTGGCTTTGTTGAGAAGAGTGTGAAGTCAAGGGACGACACGAGAGTCTGAACCTACAGAGCCCTAGCACAAAGTTGAGACAAGTCAGTGAGCCACAGAAGACTGTAACTGTAAACAACAAACCAGAGTTAATCTTTTTCAGAAAACAAATATATTTTTAAAATTTTATTCATTCAAATAAACATATTTAATCAAGACTAGAAAAATAATTAAATATTTCAAAACACTAAATGTCACACATACAATGACAGCCACCACCCTGCAGATCAGGACTGAGATACAGAGTAATCACTATTGTTGCTGCTGGACATACTGAAAATAAATACATAAAACTGCATTTCATATACAATTACTCCCATCAGGTGTGTGGAGTATGAAGTAGTCTGTACTGGGGCTCAGTGAAGCAGTAAAAACTGCTCTAAACACAAACATCTAACCTTTGAGGATGATATCAGCAGCTGAAGAAACTTTTCATGCAACAAGTTAGTACATTAAATATTGAATGAACGAATAATATAGCATCAACTACCAAGTGTTATAGTGAAAGTAGGACCATATTTTTTTCTTGATTAAAAGGTAAGTTTCAATTTGAGGTAAGTTTATAGTATTTTGCATATAAGAAGTTGCCTGTTTCTGTGTCTACTCAAAATCCAAACTGGCAAAAGTTTTTGTATTTACAGCCACATTTTTGCCTCAAAAAATCTGCTATGTAGCAACTTCAATAAAGGTCACTTTGATGAAAAAACTATTTATTTTGTAGAGCCAAATATGTCAAAAATTCAAGGTAGAGTTAACATCCTCAGCTTCGGTTTTCATTTTATTCAAGTTGAAATGTACAAAGATCTGATTAGTGTACTTTTTCATCTACCATTTTAGCCATCAGTATAAATCTTCCTGAAGAAAAACCCTCTCTGGAAGCACTTCCCCTTTGGAATAATAAGCCAACAGATAGAAATTATTCATAGATATAAATTACTGTCTGCATAGCATTACGACTGGTTGGTGCACTGGGGGAGTATAAGTCACTTCTCATACGCATTAGGCAAATAGCTGGTTGTTTAGGCTGATTAGTGGATATACTTCAATAAATGTAGCATCAGCCACATCCTGATATAAAGGTGTATTCATGTGGCCTTGGAGCTTTTTTAAAAGTATTTACAAACCACAAGCAACATTTAAATATGCATCACAAAAGTCACAAGTACTAGCCACAGATAAAGTGTTTAGTACTAGGCACAATAATAGGGCTGATAAAATGCAGCCTCACAGGTTTATCCTGGCACTATGGGAGGAACCACCAGGCCAACTGTACATGTGTTCAGGATAACATATGTGTGGGTGTGTTTTCACAACAAAAGGAAGGAGGAGTAATCCAACCATAAAGTGGAATCCTGTGTGTACAAGCCCACTGTAATTCATCCTCTTCGGTGTGGACCATAGGAGCCGCTGTCACACTGCCATTAGAGACTGTGGCTGGGTTGCTGCTGGGGGTGTGGGCTGCCCTCCCCTTCTGTTCTGTTCACTTTGCATAAACACTGAATCCACATCTGTCTGTTCAGTCACTCAGTACCTCTTCTTTCCATGTTTCCCATCAGTCATGCAGGTTTTAGGTCGAAGAGCTATATTGATGAATGAACACAAGATTTTACATTCACAATTTCAAACATGTACCTAAAAAGTGCTAACTTTGACTCACCTGGATCTGCTGTCTGTTTCTTCTTGTTGTGATAGACTATCTGATTCTCATTGGTCATTTTCACATCCTGATCTTCCACATAATTACTGCAACACAGCAAGAACACAAAGTCTCAACAGATCGATTTAGTGTAACTTTGCTGTGCCTGTGGTAAACTGGAACAGTGAACAACACAAGATGGAGGGCTGGTTTATAACAAAGGTTAAAGCCAGCAGGTCCAGGGCTGAAGACCAAAGATGAAGCAAGAGGGTGAAAAAGGGAGAGAGGAAGGACTGAGGAAACACACATCAGGGATGTGGTAATGAAGATGGGGACATCTGGGGGCACTGCAGGAATCTTCACCACAGGGATTGACCACAGGGAGGTGCTGACACAGGCCATCACAGGTGCTAGTTACTCACTGTTTGTGGTGTCTGCTGCCATGGGGGCTGCAGTGGAGAACAGCACAGCTCTGTTTAAAACAACTCACTTTGTGTGTCAGTGTGTTGAATCCAGCCTTTTTTGTCATCCCATATGTTTCTCTGTATCCAACTGCCACATGCTTATCAAATAGTCAGATTAATTCAGTGATTCACGAGTAAAACAGTCAGTCACCAGTCTGACCATTTGGCACTGAACTTTACATACAGTTTGTAAAATGGTATACAAGGTGCAACACTACTAAAAGGCACCATATTTTAGAAAAGCTGCAAGGCTGACTGGCAATTGTACAACTAATCAGCTATATAACCAAACAGTCATTCATATCTACCTCCTAGGTTCCAGCCCCCTGTGACACCATTCAGGAATAAGCGGTATAGATAGTGGATGGATGGATCTACCTCCTAAAAAGTGCGAGTACCTGATGACAGTGTTCTTCTCGCGATGTGTAATGTAGGCGTTGTCTGTGAACAGGATGGTGTGGTAGGGCACCACTGGATCACAGGTAGGCAGAATACCTCGTGCCACGTGGCTTACACTGTCCAAGATGCCATTATACACCAAGAGGTCGTCCACCAGCAGCTGTACACAAAAACATGCAGATTTTACTGCCTGGGGTCCAACTTTAAACACCTGAACGCACAACTCGGAGCAGACAGAGCAGCTTACCCCAAACTCCTTCACTCCTCTCTGTGGTGTCTTCGAGTAGTTCCACAACTTAATCATGGAAACAGTCACTGGCTGATCAAAGATGACGTACACACGGTTCACCTACATGGAAACACACAATTCACATTGACCTGAGTGAGTCAATTGCAGTGTGGCCACCATCTCCATTCTCTCCATCTCACACAATTCCTCACCAGTCCAGGGAGCACGGGGGCTAACCACATATGTCTTCCATCGTGGGTACTGTTGACTCCGTCTATTAATTTATCTGGAGTCCTCACATCACCACTCACATTGTCCAGTATGTTCACGCTGTCTGGAAAAGCAGCAATGTCTGGCAGACATAATGCTGAGGAACACACATTTACAGATACCCATTACTAATCATTCAACTGCTGCTATTAATTTACCAAATCCATTTATTGGCTATATGCACCCTCCCTCTGAACGGTTGTGAAGCAGTCATGTACATTTTCAGTTGCTATAACAGAAAGGGCACAGGTGTATCTACTAATGAGGAGTTCCATTTGAGTGTCCCAGTAGGCCAGTAGACATGCATACACAATACCAAGGCCCTGGTATAGACACAGTCCTCCTTAATGGTATGGCTTACACCCGTCCTCTTCCTGCAATGATGTCTTATTTGAAAAAAGGCCAATTTAATATTCCAGAATAAATACATTCAAAAGAAACAAATGATTCAAACATTGGTCTTTGCCTGAAATGTTACTAAATGATTCATTAATTATATTGCAACCCCTGATTTGATTAACCTGCCCAGGGACTACAGAAGAAATTAGGCTTTTTATGCTTAATCCGACACATGTACACTCATTGAATGTTGAGTAATGTGCGCTGTGCCTGATTAATTAAATATAGTTATATACAATTGGTCAGTGTGTTGCCAGAACACGGTATCAGTGTAAGTATTAATATTCACATTCCTAAATAAGAAGGAAGAGAATATTTAACTGAGCAACAACCAAACTACATAAAACATAAGGGATAATATGGAGATAGATAGATAGACAGATAGAAACTTTATTGCAAACTTAAGGTCCAAACTCCAAACAACAAAAAACAAAAAATAAATAAACACCACAAAACAGCAACCAGTCCGATATATAGAGCTAGTGAAGAGAGTTTAGGTTTGTGAGGACAGATACATGATCAATTAGAATTCATAAGAGGATACTGTTGTCACTGAGACTGATCTTCTCATGGTTCTGGTTGTAAAACTCGAGGCCGTTCAGACCGATGTAGTATGGGTCTCCCCAGGTTGTTAACAGCTGCAGCTGAAAAATGACTGACAGGTGAAGGTCAAGGATATATAACATGGACCATCTTGTACATGTATAAGGCTGGTCCTATAATCACTGTTACTATGTTCAGATTGGCTGTTTGTAAAACATAAAGAAAAAAATTCAGTAAAAAAAATATTGCTTGAGAGGTGTGCTTATTGCATAATAGTGTAACAAACAGCACCATTAGCTGTTTGACCATTCTCACCATTCATGATGAGCATCCTCACTACTGGCATCACAGTCTGGTATGGTAACACCACACAGGCAGAGAGGAAGGCTCTTCATAGGGTCATAAAGACTGCAGAGAGGATCATTGGGACTGAACTGCCTGCTATGGACACACTGTACACACAGCACTGTCGTAAAAGGGTGGAAAACATACTCAGAGGTCCACGCCACCCAGGTCACAAATATGAAAATGTGAGAATATATATGTGATAGCCCCTTACTAGACATGTGGAATAATAATACAGAAATGTTCCACAAGGTATGTTTGTAAGAGCATCTCATCAACAGTTTTCTCTTGGGGGACCTGAATATTAGCAGGACATTCTCTACCAAGCAATGGAAGCAGGCCTGAATATAAACTGTTTTAGTATGTTATAACCCCTCACTACCTCACCAAGAGTAATGACATATCCAACTCCACCATGTGAATTAC